CTGAGAATTCTTCTTCTAGTCCTAATAAGGGAAAGAAGAAGAGAAAGTAGAAATCTGTTAGAAAGCAATAAGTGTTGTGCATATGGTTGTTCCAGGGTTAAACCCTAAGGACTCGCAAATAATCCGAAAGGTATGTGCCAGCAGTTCAAGCAGCGAGAACAATGAAGACCGACTTCCCTCTCTTCAAGCAAGGCAATTGAGGTAATTTTTTCACTCTACTCGTTGAAACATGTTTAGCGGTGTTATCTACTAGTAACTGGGTGCCCTGCTCGGGTGTCTAAATACACCCGTGATTTCTTCCCTTCGACTGGGACTCCCTTCGCCACCAGTCTGGGTTCGTCTCTCAGGTCTTGTTTCTCACCTCTATGACCCTTCTATTATGTTCTCGATTATCAGCTGCATTGGAAACCCGATTGAAGTTGATGCAGCCACGACCACTCAATCGAGGCTTCCCATTGCATGTGTTTGCGTTGAGATAGACCTCCGTAGTGAGCGCGTCCAAGATATCTTTCTCAACCAGACGGGGAAGATCACCACGCAGAAGGTGGTCTATGAGGGGATCCTACCTTACTGCACCTTATGTGACCACGTGGGTCATGTAAGGACTGACTGCTACACTAGTGAAAACAAGCTCCGTTCATCGCTTCCGCCCCGCCGTGCGGCCAGATCTGCCCCACAACTGCTTCGGGGGACCCAAAAGGGAAGGGAAGGTCCCTGCCCGCACGACTGAGTTCCCAAAAGGGACTCAGAACAAGGGCAAGACTTTTGTGGAGAACGCCGCTCAGACCGAGACGGCTGCTCAGCCTAACCGGTCCAAGCACAGGTTTCTCCCTCTGCGGACACCTCAGCAGGCCTCTACGGCCAACCACTCTTACTTTTATGTCCTCTCTTCTAAGACAGAGGCCGAGCCCTCTTCCTTTACTCGTCCATTTGGAGATTTGACGAGTCCTCCCTAGACGACGATGACCTCCTAGATGATGAGACGGATCAGCTAGAGCCCTTAGTGAGCGTCGAGTTTTACCCCTTTCACAACGCCAGTTCTCGAGACGTGGGTTCCTCCAGTGAGCATGATGCCTCTGAGGAGAGATCTCAGGGATAACGTTCCACTCATATCGCTGATTCCCAGGCCGGAGCTGAGGCGACCCCTGTTATTGCCTCAGTGAGTGAGCACTTGATGGTACACACTGCAGCGCATTCATATCTGGCCACCGGGATCTTCTTCTTCTTCCACCCCTGAGATGGACTGGGGCTCTTAACTAGGCCAGCCTATTTTCGATGCTTAGGAGTAGGGTGAGCAGCTTCAGGGACCTCTCACTGAGAGCCATGACCGTTGCTAAACTCACACCAAATCTAGGATTGCGCAGCATTTGACTAACCAGACTTTATCCCACACTGGTTGATCGATACAGCCTAGCCACAAAAGGACTAAGTCGAAAGGCACCACAGAAAGTTGATATGTCAATCATATCACTAACTTAAAATGCTCGTGTCTTGGAAAATATGGCCATCCTTGAACATATTAACTCCCTTGTCTGTGACTATAGACTTGACTTCACCTCTTTTCTCGAGCCCATGACCGACAGCCCTTCTTTTGACTTATACTCACGTTGCCTTGGTTTTCACTATGGCATGAGAAACAACTCTAACAAGATTTGGTTCTTTCACTCACGTGATTACACTTGTCTGGACATCTGTGAATCCGTACATGTGTTGTGTTCGTCCCATTTTTGTTGCATTTTTCATTGTCTTTTAATCTTTATTTTCCCCCCGTTTTAGGTCTTTTAATTGGTTTTTAAGTCATTTTGTGATTTATTTCGTGGTTCGCTTTATTTTAGTCTTTCTTGTGTTTTTCGGTATTTTTTCCAGTTTTTCATCGTCGTTGGTGTGAAGGTTATAAGGCTTGGGAGGATTTGTAAATGTACAAGGTGAATATGGTGAAAGATATCATTTCGTTGGGAGTACACCGGAAAAATCAGAACCAAATTCTGAGATCATATGAGCGTATACGAGCCTAGAACACGAAGTGGTGCAACAAAGACCATGCCCAGCCGCCGCGCCGTGTGGAGTCCCGCGCCGCGGCAATCAGTCCTTCACGCCTCGTCGCGGCAGCGCCACGAGATAGACAGAAGATCGGAGAACGCGCCCTGCGCCGTGGCGGCTGTCGTGCTACGACACCTGGTTCACGTTATCCCAGCCTGCACTTCGCGAGGCCCCCGCGCCATGAAGAGGACCCTCGTCGCGCCGTGACCTACCCCCACGCCTTGAAGCCCTGGTCTGCCGTGCCGCGAGATGGTGTCGCGCCGCGCCGTCTGCTACTTCTTTCGCCCAGAATTTCGCCTCGCCGCGCCGCGCCATTATGCCGCGCCGAGAAGTGCTCGCCCAGACCTGTTCTGCCGCGCCATTACGCGCCGAGAAGCGCTCGCCCAGACCTGTTCTGCCGCGCCGTGGAGCAGCCCTTCTGCCGCGCCGCTGCAAGCTTTACGCCGTGAGATACCAACTGCCGCGCCGCGATGAGGTTTTCTCCACGTCGTGCCAAGAGTTTTTTTTTTTCTACTTTAGCTTGCAAGTATAAATAAAGGACCGCGACTGAAATTTGGGGATTCATTCTCTTACGCGACCATAAACACCGAAACCCTCCCTTCTTCTCTTCCTCTCGTTTTGACATCTTTCTTTCATTATTTTTCATTGTAAATAAGGATTCGAACACGGATTTTGTCGTTGCTTTCGGATTAATCTTGCTTATCAGATTCGACTCTCAATTTTGTTTAAATGGTAAGACTTTCTATTCCTTTAATCGGTGAATATGTTTGTCTTGATTGATGAGATTAATTGTGTTGAATCGATCATGAGCGGCTAAATCTTTATGCTAGGGATTAGGGGATCGATGCTTTGAACTTGTTTGTGATTGTCGGACTTGAGATTGTTCAATTTATGCGATTCATGCTTAATTAGGGTTTTCGATTTATGCTTGAATGTTGAGAATTATTGAGGGGTGACACTTCAATTTGCAATTATTTTGATTGAATTTGATTCGTTCTCGCGTGATATTGTTTACTCTATATCGACTTGTTGATTAACTATCTTCTAGGATTATTTAATCAGCTCTTAGAACCGAAAGGGGAGGAGTCGGTCAAAATATATTCGCATGAACTAGACTTGTTCGTAACTGTATTGCCTAGGAGTTAATTGATTCGTTAATTTGCCGTTCTAGTTTATTCCCTTGTTACGAATAGTTATTGGGAATGAATGCTTGATCGGGTAGATTGCTCGAATTTCTTAGCTGAACAATCACTTGCCCGTTAGTTGCATATCGAACCAAAGCGGGAATCCCCGACTCCCTAGCTGCTCAAATCTTATTTGTTCTACGTAATCGTCTGCTATTTACTTGCTTTATTTTGATTTTCGAAATAGTTGATAACTCGAAACCAACCAACCTTGGATCTAGAATGTTTAGGGATTTTATTTCTTTTATTCGTGTTGGAGTAGACGTACAAAATATTCCGGCTAGCCTTCCTCAAGAGACACGACCCAGTGTCGAATCTTTCGATTCTACTCTGGAAAAATATTTACAACAAAATTGGCTCCGTTGCCGGGGAGGGTTTAGGATATATTTTGTGCGCTTATTCAGTTTATTTTTCGTGTTTCTCTTGTTTTCTTTTTATTTGTTTAGGAGGTAGTTCTTTGCTTTTGTTTTTATTTTATTTTCTCTTGCTTACTATTGGTGCTCGTAACCTGTTTGTTTCTTGAGTGTATGCGTACCAAAAGTGGATGTATATTATCCCCAATCAACAAATCAAACAACGAGAGCCTGAGAGAACTGTTGTAGGAGCTTATTCTCGAATCACCCGAAAAAGACGAACATTCTCTGAAATCGTCCGAAGGCAGCAACTTCGATATGGGTGAACAACAACAACAACCGCCCCGTAATGTTCTCAGAAACCTGGCTCAGCCTATGATTGGTCCAGTAACATCTTGCCTCCGGTTGCCACAAGCTGCCCGCAACTATGAGCTGAAGGTGGTTCACTACAATCAGCTCCCATCGTTCCACGGGCTTGCCAATGAGGACCTACTACACTTCATCCGGGAGTTTTATAATGTCCTCCAGACGTTTTCTCTGCACGGGTTGACCGAAGACCAATTAAAAATGCGGTGCTTCCCGAAGACTCTAAAGGACCGGGCCAAGGCGTGGTTCATGACCCTCGCCCCAGATTCTCTCACAACTTTGCCAGAGGTCTATGCTAAATTCGTGGGCAAGTACTATTCCCACCAGAAGACCCAAGACATCCAGTCCCAAATAGTCTCCTTCGCTCAACTGCCACACGAGCCTCTTCACGAGGCGTGGGAACGATTCAAAGACCTTCAGCGGCAGTGCCCCCACCACAACCTTTCTCCAGGGCTATTGGCAAACTGTTTCTATGATTCCCTCCATCAGAACTTACAGTACATGGTGGACACTGCAGCCGGAGGAGACATTGGAGCAAAAATGGCGGAGGAGATGATGGTGATATATGAGACGATGAGTGTGAACTCGTCTCAAAAGAGCATAAGAGGAAAGAGGGCTGCGGTG